GGCTCCAGCGCCCGCGCGCCCCCCGGAAGCGTCCAGCTGCCGGCGTCTGGGCGCGCGGTGGGCGCGGTTCGCCCCCAGCGCCCGGCTGCCAAGATTGCCGCTGCCAGGCGCCTTGCCATCGCCAGTTGGTGGCATTGGCCCGGCCTTGGGGAGCGGGAGGAGGGCTCGGGTCGCGAAGGGTTCGCCGCAGTTAAGGCTTCGCGGAATGAACGGGCTCTGGCGTTTAATCTTGCTCCATGGGAGTCTTGTCTTCTGGTATAGACCGTCGGTCCCTAGGGCCCAACGGCAGGATCTCAAACTTCTTCCATGTAGCCCATGTGCACATTGCTGGGCACCCGAGACTCGAGCACCGACCATGTGCCAGGCTCTGTGTTAAAAATGGCGACCTTGTCCTTTCCGTTAGGTTTCCATTCTGCGGAATGGGTGACACCAGCCCATATGACCTTATATGAAAGCGGCCTCTTCATGATTCAATTTCTGCAATACGTTTTCCAGTCATCTCACTCCTCACCACCACCACTCCCGTAAAAAAAGATAAGTATGATCGAGGAGGTTCTAAAACCCAAAAGGGCAATATTGTTTAAATTCGGGCTTAAAAACAATCTAGTCGATTCCTTCATCTATAATATTGAGAAGAACCATGTTGTGATTAAGTCCGAAAGAATGTTTTATAATATATATGTATTGTCGCTTGCAACTTACTTTCACATTGAGTTTTACTCTAATATTAAGATAAGTTGTCATTCCCTCTAGGCATCCTTACTGATGGCTGGGGATTGGAGAGGAAGCCCTTAAATGGCAGGGGAGAAAAAGACAGTCTTAGCTCAAAAATCAAGCAATAAATAAATAAATCCTCATGCTCATTGGCACAACTCAAAGTACATTCTAGTCTGCACTATTTTCAGAAGCTCTGCTTATCTAACTACCTACCGTATGACAAAAGAAGTCATTGTGGTTGACCATGCTTCACCAAATCAAACAGAGATAAAAATGTTAACGGAGGGTCCCCTCTCATGAGTTCACCCAGTCATGCTGGCAGTAAAGTGTGCTGAATCCAAAGTGAGGTTTGTGTTGGACACTTGTCAAGAGTAGGTATAAGAAACGCCCTGCCTTCCTGAAGTATCTCTATAAAATGTGCCAATTTTATGAATAAGTTTCTAATGCTGAGCCTCTCCGGAAGCCAAAGGAGAAGAAACATGGGTTTCCTACTGGTCAGGTCATTCTTTCCCATGAAAAGATGAGGGAAAATAAATACTGAGCTATGAATGACATAGCAAGTTATGTGTCTTGCAAAGTAAATATCTAAGTTGACACTAAATCATTAACCACAGAGAGATCAATCATAGGAAACCTGCCACAACCTAGTGTGACTTTGGCAGGCTCAACCTCATAGCTTCTGGAAAAGTCTTATATGTGCCCCTTCTTTCTTGTCCTTACCTTCCTGCAAAATTCATTTTTCCTTCATGAGAGTAAAAACATCATTATTTAAATTTGGGGTTATTGTAGATGTTTAAGTTCAGTCTGCAATTCTGAAGCCATTGATGCTGTCAGTTATTTTATTATAATCCTACCCAAGCATCAAAAAGTAGCATGTAAAAAAAAATCACATATATATTTAGTGTGTGCATGTATTCTCTTCTAGAGACTAGGTCCCTTTCAAATAAGTTGCAGAAGAATCAGCACCGTTTTGTTGGGTTTCCTTAAAGCAAGTTGCAGATGCATTCATAAATATGATTACAAGTATATAAAAATATGCATATAAAAGATTAAAAGGGGGAGCACGTGGGTGGCTCACGCGGTCAGGCGTCTGCCTTCGGCTGCGGTCATGATCCCAGAGTCCTGGGATCGAACCCCGCATCGGGCTCCCTGCTCGGCAGGGAACCTGCTTCTCCCTCTGCCTCTGCCTCTCTCTCTCTCATGAATAAATGAATAAAATCTTATGAAAAAAAAAAGATTAAAAGGGAAGATTTGAAAAAGAAGTATAACTGTTGTGTTAAGATGCTGGTATTACATTTGATTTTCCCCATGTGTTCTGTTTGTGTTCCTTTTATGGAATAATGTTAAACTGGTACCTGAGAAAGTTGAGGTCAGATTTCACATAGGTGGACTCAATTGTATCAAGGTGAAAACACATCTGGGGGCAATCAACAGAAAGCAGAGCGTATATATAAAACAGGGAAGGATCTCATTCTAGAGAGTGCAAAGAGAATATCTCATTTTCAAAGAGCAGTTATGCTTTAATCAAAGGTATAGACAAGATTCCAAAGTGGCAGATAAAGAGATGATTTCCCTTTTATAAATCCATATACATTAATTGATATTTCAGTAAATATGACTTATTAAATTACTAACAAAACAAAATTTACCCCTACATATTTTGGATGTATAGGATCATTACTGAGATCCACTTACATATTACAGTGTAAAAGTTATTTGAATTTATTCAATCATATGTTAACTTTTCCATTATCAAAACAATTGTAACACCTATTACATACACACACACACACACACCACCTCACTGTGTTTTCAGTTAAGTTGAAATTACATGCTAGAGAAAAAATATATATACACCTGATATGCAAAAAAAAAAGATTTTGTTTTACTTACATAACCTGTACCTTCTTAGTTTCAACTGGTTCCCAAATATCCAAGAAAGATATTAGAGGAGAAATTACCAGACATGACCACTAAATGCATAGAGAACCAGGCTTTGGCATTGTTCTTTCTGTTTTCACATTATTCTTTGAAGCTTTCTTCCTCAGAGGGCAGGGATAAACTGAAGTTCAATGTTATGAAACTCTCAAGTTAGCTCTATGAAAATCAGCAAAGCCATAAAAGCTTCAGGTGTCTCACTGAGCCTAAGTCTTTAAGGTTCATTTGCTCATAAAAGACATATTTGTTGAAGGACTACTATGCGACATACCCTACGAGGTGCTAGAGATTTGGAAAAATAAGTCAGAATCCCTATTTCAACCAACTCACAGTCTAGTGTGGAGAGAGAGCTGAACACTGGCGATTACAAATGGCGGCGAGGGGGGGGTGGACGATGATGTTAGAATAGAGCCCCAGGGGTTCATGGGAACACTGAAAGGGCACCAGAGTGAGAGGAGGGAGATTGGGAGTGTGTTGGGGAAGGCTCCTGAATCAACTGTCACCTGAACTGAGCCTTTAACCAGGAGGAGAGAAGGGTGGTGCTTCAACCTAAGGAGCAGAGAATGCACAGGAACCCCTTGTTGCTTTTCCTGCCACTTATCCAGAACCCTTCCCTGCTTACTCTTCGGCTGGCCCTAATCCCCCAGTACTCTCCAACTGGGAAAGTGAAATTTTCAAATTTTAGAAAAACCTATTCCTACATAAACACATTGCTGGGGCCTCTCCCAGAGCCCAAGACAGGGCCAAGCAAGGAGGAACCCAGAATCTTAAGCTACACTGGGCTCATATAAATTACTTCTGCTCTGAATCCAGCCATATCCAAAGCTAGTTCATCCTTTGAACTTCTCCGTTACACAAGCCTATACATTTCTTTTTTCATCAGAATTCATTTCTGCAGCTTGCAATGTAAAAAGAGTCTTGACTGATACACAGCATGTCTGCATGGAGGTACTCTGGCTGCCCATAGTATGCGAAGAAGCATCAGTAGTCTTACCAATGTAAAGGACCACTCTTTCAGGTGGCCAACAGGCTTGGGCCAAGGCCAAAAGTGGGATAGACCCAAGAGAGAACAACTGTCTTCTTGAGCAGCTGGAGGAGAAAACCTAAAATTGAAAGGGCTGGACACAAGTGACAACAGACCTTAGTAACCCCCACAGAAACCTTCCAATGGATGCTCATATCCACCTTTATAAAAATCAGTCCGATGCTAAAGGAAGCTAAACATTCTTTATAAATCCTCATATTAAAGTTGTTTTTAATCCACTCAAGGCAGTTAACTTGAGAATGTTTCATTGATTTATATGTTCATTCATTAAATATTATTGAGCATCCACTCTCTACTGATGCTATGCCCTGTTCTAAATATCTGAAGGTGAATAAAATGTGGAGGGCAGCTGCATATAATATAAAGTATATAGGCTCTGGAACTAAGAGAACCTTGGGCCCAATCCTGCCTCTGCCATTTACCTGTGTGACCTTGGAAATATTGGAATCCCTCCTTATGCTTAGTTTCTGCATCCATAAGATTAAAATAAAAACACATACCTTATAGGGTTGTACTTCCTCGTAACAGGGATTCAGTAAATATTAACTACGGTTTTTATGATCGGCATCAGGATGGGAAGGCGTTGGCAGGTGAAAAAAAAGACTTGGAAGAAGGAGAAAGAACATGGCATGTGTTAGGGGCACCTCCTTTCCCCTTGCCCCATTTTTCCAGGGAGTGGGTAGGAGGTGTTCCATTAGGATATGACTTTTGGCTCCTTACACCGCTATCCTTCACACTCAAGAGTGAGTTTCTTGATGGGTGAGTACCATTGCATTCATTGGTTCATAGTTCTTGACTGAATGGAGCTAATCTATTAAAAGGCCCTAATTAGTGAGGATTCATCCTCTTGTTCCCTTTCTGCCCCAGAGTAATGCAGACAATGATCTTGGGTAAACAAGTCTGCTTTGCAGACCCAACCTTCCCCTTTGTAGGCTGTTCTGAGGCTACATTCTGTGGGGATTAGGAGCTGGCACAGAATGTCAGCAAACCCTTTTGGGTTACAGATCCAGAACCCTGTTCTTTATTAGCTTATCTATAATAAAGCTGACATTTAAAAAAAAATCTCCACTTGACTGTCCTCTATGTCTTATTTCATCCAAAACTCAGGGCTGGGCTGGGGAGAAAGAGCATACAATTTATTGATCCTCTAAAGTAATTAATTATGGCCAGAACATAGATTGTAGAGGGAAGGGTGGTGAGAGATAAAGCCAGAGAGGTAAACATAGAAGGATTTCTGCTCAAGTGGTTGGTACAGTAAGGTCATGCTTTGATCCATTCCCTTTACTCCACACAAAGAGTAATGATAATTAAAATATAGAAAGAGAAAAACCAAAAAGGCACAACCAGGCTCAAAAACAAATAACCCTTCTCATAGATCAGAAATGGAATAAAAAGCCTAAAGCGGTCCGATGCCACAGGCCTACTGAGGTCTCAGGTTTGAAAGCCAAGATTTTTGTCTCCTGCAAGGTGACAGGAACTAAAGATGCTCCAAATAAGGTGGAGGACAGGAACCAGGCTTGATTCTTGAAGTCAGAAGCTCATGAAAGGAGGCTGAAAATAAACTGCTGCCAACCCACCACCTGGGGAAGCGGAAGGACAAAGACACAGCCTTAAAATCAGGAACCAAGCCAAGCAGCTGGCCAAGTGATTGGTTCTGCAATATCCCCAATATCACTGTGGGGTGGAAGCATCAAAATGCCAACATGAGACCCAATTCTAGAATGGAGATCCAGGGAGGCAGGTGGAGACAAAAATCACTGAACATGGAGGGGTGAGCACAGAATGTGTGAGAGGGAAAAACAAAACAAAACAAAACAACACACAGAAAAACCAACACTAAGCTAAAACAAAACAGAAAACAGCAAGTGAAAACTTCCCACCCAAAATGAGCCTGACCACCAAGTTCCAAACACATACTGATATCTAATACTAAGAAAGATGGCCAACATAATGAACACTCAGAAAATGAATTTACTTCAGATAAAATTAACTCTATGGAACTGACAGAGATTTTTAAATTAATATTTTGGCATTCTCAAAGTGATAAATGACAAAAAATTAGGGACATTTTAAATGGACAAGAAATTAGGGAACAAATACAAACTGAGTAAATAATAGATAAATGTGAAAAAGAACTAATAGAAATCTTAAAAATAAAAATATGGTCACTGAAATGAGAAAATCAATGGATGGCTTTAAGTCTGGAACTGGCCAAAGTTGAACAGAAAAAGTAATGAATTAAAGGGGTGT